CAATGCCGCATATATTCTCTGAATAATGATGTATTGTTATATCAATTGTTTTTGAAAAGTAAAAAGAACACCTAAGAATGAGAGTCTAAGTTCTCTACAATCTTTTAAAAAGACTATTCAAATAGTAAACAATGTCGAAAATATTGTGCTTTCAAGCAACATTATATCATAAAAAGATCATTTTCGTTCATTATGGGCTCAGCTATTGACATTGATAGTCATAACGGGTGGTCCATAAATAATGGGACACTTTTATTTTCTTTTTTTTGAAGATCGAAAGCACAGTTCAAAGACTCCATTCTCAGCTCATTCGATAGAGAATTTTTCGCTCTATAAAACTGTTGAATTGGTTTTTCCAATGAGTGTTTCTTATGGGCGCTAAATTGGAAAGACTGAGAGCTACTCAATTATGCAGCTATGATCTCCTGCTATTTTCTGCAGATATCTACCGATTTGTATAAGCCTGTGCTCATTAAGTCGAACGCCAAATGTGAAGTATTTGGCATCAATAGATAGAGAATTCGATGCTCCATGTTTTGATGATCTCTTGAAGTCTTCTAATGATGTCATTCAAGAGTAAGAAATTCAGAACGAATCTTTGACAGTGATTTCTTTTGGATGCACATTCAAAATTCGTATCTTCAGAACCAAGGGGTGCTCTGTAAAACGTTCATTATTATACTATCGGACGCAGAATTTAATGCTGAACAAAATGATGTAGCATTTACATTGAACAATGCAAATTATTAGATTATTCTCAATCAAAAAAAAAGAGGGCTCAAGCCTGTCACAAAAGAGTCCCTTTCGGCGTTTTCGCATTTTAACTTCAAAACTATTGTCCCAAATATCTTTTTCAGAAATTGCGAAAGATAGAAAGAAGTAGAATTTTATGGAGTATCTTGTAGCATATTTCAAATTTCTGCAGAACTGTTTTCTAAAAAGCTTTTTAATTATTTTTGTTCTGTTTGAGTGTCGCATTTGCGCAATTGAGTAGCTGTTAGTCTTTCCAATTTTGCGCCCATAAGAAGCACTCATTGACAAAATCAATTCAACAGTTTTGTAGAGCGAAAAATTCTCTATAGAATGAGCTTACAATGGAGTCTTTGAACTGTGCTTTCGATCTTCAAAAACAGAAAATAAAAGTATCCCATTATTTATGGGCCACCCGTTAGTATATGTTTTTTGACAATTAGATAAACTAGATGACTTCATTCAAATAGCCACCAACAATCTCAAACTGCATGAGGAGATTTGTGCTGTAGCCTTTGATATAGTCCATAGAGCTACGCGGATAAGTAGACGCTATATAGTTGCTGTTAAAGTTTTACATATGACTCATTCGATTGGTAAAGCCGAGAAAGAGTTTTTTAAAGAGATTTCTTTGATAGACAAAATTCGTTGTCCTTACACCATCAATTTTTGTGGTACTTGTACAGAAGATAAGAGCCGTCTTCGCATCAATCAAGGACACGTATATTCACACCAACACTGGAAGCCTCACATTCCCACCCGTAGGTGCGCACTCGCTTACCTCCATAGACATGCTCATCTCATACCCTCAAGTAAATTTTAATTATTAGGTTGACATAATCAATTTATTCCAGTATAGCATGAGATCAATCATCATTCACTTAAATAAAAAGCGTCAATCACACAATATCTTTATTAAACTTGAAACAAAACGTTTGATATAATGCATGTTCTCCTGCCGCTCAGGTGTTAGTGTGGATGAGGTTGAAAATCAGTAAAGAAGCACAATATTGAATAATCTTCTATGTTAACTACTTAAAAGTTCAAATAATTCAAAGTTTGGAAAAGAATTTTAAACTTCAATTGACTTTTTAACATCAATTCTATATTTCTAATGTTGATTCATGATACGCAGCAATTAGACCATAAATTTTAAAGAGCAATCGCTAAACTAGCGAATACATAGAGATATTCACTAAAAAGAACGGAAGCATCTTGTTTATCACGAAAATGAAAATTCCATTACAGTTGAACGGATGAATTCATTGGGGATAAGAGTGTCGCCCAGAGGCATATGCTCCTCAAAGTCTATGTCAATAAGTATCTTTATAAATTTATTGAGTCTTTCATGTGAAGAGTTAAAACTCAACGTCTTTTCTAAATCGAATCATTGAATTTCAAACTTCAAATGCATTGATATTTCGCCACCTTTCTTAGGATAAGTTTTGTTTACGCCAACATAAATAGCAAATTCAGATTAGCACAAAAGACTACATCAGCTTTTATATATAATAGGTTAAAAAATTTTTCACGATAGATGAACTTCTCGTGAATTACAGGCCACGCTTAGCAAGTTCATTGCTGAGAAGAACATACGTATTTTTTTTTGTAGAAATATATATCTATCATCGCGTGTAGTTGAAAATGTTGCTTATCACCGCATATTTTCGCAGGTTTGCTTGCTTTTATTGATGTCACGAAGAAAGCTGCAATTTTCTCAACCATTAAACAAAATTTAAGAAAAACTCAATAAGCATTTGTTTGGATCGCGATCAAGCAATTCTGAAAAGATAAGATATTTCATTTTGTCTTTTTTCATAGAAAACTAGATGGATTTACACAGGTATCTACTTAGATCAATCCAGAAATAATGGTAGTGATGCGGATGTGAGGATAGGTAAGAGTAAGATTGAAAAGAAGATTTGATCGATATATACATATCAAATTCTCACATTTTCATGTTTTTCGCTCATATACTCACCCTAACCCTAAAAGGGGCTCGCATTTCTTCTGTTGTTGTAAGTTACACCTGTCTCCGCATCGAGTAAGTCACCAAGCAGTAAAATAATATTCAATCCTATCGGAAATGACATAAACAATGCTATTAAGAAATAAAAGAGTGTTTTGTATTGCAGACGTTTCGACAACGACTGCTAAAGACGTAACTAAAGCAAAACAAAGAACAAATTCTGGCACAGTTCAAGTAGCGTAAACAAATTCTGAGTGCTCTTTTTCTGTCCACATCTATATCCGTTTGTTCATAGATTGATACAGCTGCTCCAGCAGTCTCTACTATCGTCAACACCCAGGTTAGCTCTAACACCGAAAAGATCAGACAATGATCACTCTAGAAAATAGATATTCATCAAATATCTCATACTTTTAGATATCCGCCGTGAAAATCAAAGTTTCATCAAATAAAGGTAGGATATAATTGGTTATCGCCTTGAAAGTGAGTATGATTAATGATGGTGAGAGTTATGTAAATAAAATCAGTATCACTCGCCAGACACACTAAGCGCATGGAGAAAACTCGTGTGGAGTTACTCGACTTTTTGGGATGGATCATACATATCAGTGAAACCATGCGAACATTTTCTTGATTAAAAAAAATGCAAAGATTCTATATTTTTAAAGAAATTTAATGCGCTTACGTTGTCTTGAGTGAAGGATACAACTTGATGTATTGAATTTTTGCATTATTGACTGAATGGTTCTTGAAAATGGCTTTTAAAAGTGAATGAAATTCCTAGAAACACATAATCTGTTTGAGCATCAAGTAAAAATTAGCGACAAAATACAATTTTGCGATCAATCTGACGTCATCCAATATAAGAATAAGCTGTGTGTTTTTGTTCACTCTCTGGAGGACACCAACGTAGATAAACTGACTTTCTGATCAAACGACAAGTGTACATATAAGAGTTGTTCGAGGATGCAACTAACAGAGCTCTTAAACCACACGTCGTTGGAAAACGTGTTTTTTATTCGTTTTTTCCTGTAAAAACTATCTTGTTTTCGAAGATTGGTGAGGATTTTCCATCAACACCATGTAATGATCAACTATTCTTGAAGCCATGTATACAAAACAAGTATGATCATTTATACTTATGTTTTGAATTGCGCAGTGGAAGAGGCTAGAGCAGATGAATCTATAATTAGAAATCAACGTACCTATACCAAGAGAGCACATAATCTCATGAGTCATTCTGTTAAAATAAACTGTCTCATTTGTATCCTAGTTTTAGTGACAACGTGATCATATATGTGATGAGCAATGAATATATGTATAAACTTAAAAGTAGAATATGAAAAGAACTCATTGATAAATCGTTTGATTCAGTCTTTTCAATATTTTTTCATCAATCATTGTGCCAAAGTTTCTGTAAGTCTTTCACTTTTTTTAGTTTCTTCTGTCATCACTTTACTTCTAACTTCATCGAATATTCGAGTGCTTTAAGAGACTTAAGTTTCTCACAATCATATCATTAAGATAGCTGGATGAGTTTCACTGCATTCTGTATTTCTCTAAATTTCTATAAGTTCTTGTCTACATACAGGTTCTTGAGCTTCATAGTTTTGTCTGTTTCAATGAGTTCCTAAACTTCGTTGATATGAATTATAAAGAGATACTGCTAGAATCTTCTCAGCAATTTTCACTTCCCGTTTCTTATACAGCTATTTTTTCTTGCTGAACCCTCATTTTTTGTCCCTTCAAAGTCTACAACGATCCAAATACGATGATTCGAACCAGATCTTGAAAAGAAACTTGATAATCTCTTATTAGAGCACTTCCTGCCTATTCATGGGATGATTCTGAAAGCTTCTAATTGAATTCTTATGCTTTCCTATGGAGATTTTGCATTGGTCTTTAATGTATTGAAAATACTTATTTGTGAAAAACATTCATATGAGATTTTCAAAAAGTTCGATCAAAAAGATGCCAGATACGAATATACATTAAATTTCTGGAATACCGATCGAATCTTATCTGGATTTCTCATTTTAGGACTCCAATGGATCTTGCTATTTTCTTTCTAACATCCTTGTCTTGACTAGCTTTCAATCTTGTCATATTAAAATCTATAATAGGACTGAAAATGAATCTTGATAGTATTCTGCTGTCTTGATTTCTATTATAAGATTCCTTTTCTTTTTCGTTCGTTATAGCGATTCCCAATATTCCAGTAAAAACCCGATGGGCACAGAATGGAGTGACCATTGCTGGAGGCCATGGACTAGGTAATGCCATGAATCAACTACAGGGTCCTCGTGGTCTCTTCGTTGATGATGATCAAACAATGATCATCGCTGATTGCTACAATGATCGTGTCATTCAATGGAACGTAGGTGATGGGAATTCACAGGTGATAGCTGGCAGCCGTGGCGAAAGAAATCGATTAGATCAATTATATTGCCCAACCGATGTATTGGTCGACAAAACAACTGACAGTCTTATTCTTTGTGATAATGGAAATCAACGAGTCTTACAATGGTGTCGTCATAGTGGCATAACTCAAAGAGAAATCCTCATTGACAATATCGCGTGTTGGGGAATAGACATAGATGATCAGAGATACTTTTACATTTCTGACACCAACAACCATGAAGTAAGACGATATCAAATAGGAAACCAGAATGGAATTCCCGTGGCCGGTGGTCATGGCAAAGGTGATGGTCTTAATCAATTCAACGTTCCTACCTACATCTTTGTCGATCGACAACAGGCTGTCTACGTATCAGATTCGAGGAATCATCGTGTTATGAAATGGGACAAAGGTGCAACAGAAGGGACTGTTGTCGCTGGAAGTGGAGGTCAAGGGAAGAGTTTGAAACAATTGTCGAGTCCTAGAGGTCTGTTTGCCGATACGTTGGGTACCATCTATGTAGCAGATGGGGGAAATCATCGAGTGATGCGTTGGCCTAAAGGTGCTACACACGGCACTATCATTGTAGGTGGGAATGGTTGTGGAGATGGAGAAAATCAGTTGTGGACTCCCATGGGTTTATCCTTTGATCAATATGGCAATCTGTATGTCGTTGATTGGGGGAATCATCGAGTTCAACGTTTTTCTATTGAATAGACTCATTGTTTCTCTTTCGTCTATCTATCAAATAAATAACGTCGAATAAAAAGAGAAATGGCTATTCAAAGAAAAATGAAATTCGTTCATATTCTATTTGCACGCACGGGTGATCAAGAATCACCCTAGTGGCGATCAAAAGTCGATGCATGCAAAAAGCAGACTCAAATATACATGATGTATATATGAGTTTAGAAATGGTTGACCGCGTGTTGCGGACACCAAGATGGGCTGTAGGGGCAGATGCGAATAAAGTGAAGTGCCCGATAAAAATCTCTATATTGATGGTTCACATTATATATTTTGATATAAGTGAGGTTTTACTTAGAATGATGAACATAAATATAGATCTTGGGCATGCTCTAGGATGTCATAATATGAGTTCTATAGTAAAAAATCATAATTTTCTCTATATTATTGGTCAAAATATCATCATTCATGACTACCTAATTCTACATTTATGGTTGTTACTGTTTAATACATAGTAGTATGGTCATTTATTATTTAATTTTGCCTAATTGTATCCTTAAGATCATATACGTAGATTATTAGAATCATAAATGTAGGCGAGAATGTCTAAAATGATGCATTTTTTCTAGTTGGAGATTCATATTTCCAAGTCAATCTGCACGATAGACTTCCATCATTCATTTGTCTGTCGTTTTAAATTTAGTATCTAAAGAGCGTCGATCTAAAAAAAAATTAAATGCTTTTAACATTGATGATGAATTCTGATCCTTACATTGAAATAAGAGCGACAAAAAGAAAACATGTAATTCAAGTTCACTGTTGTTGAGTGAAATTGGATACTTCATGAGGGGGCTGATGCAATGAAAGTAAAATATATCTTTTTTCAGTACAAAAATACGATTCCTTTCTCCAGCTTGTATTCACTTCGCCTTCAATGAATTGTTTGATTAAAATAACCTATTAGGACACCGATATGTCGTAGTCGATGAGAAAATGGAGACGAGTAAAACCAACAACAACATCAAACTCAATTTGATTCCTTCTCAACGAATTCCACATCATGAGTCAATATAAAATGATTTTATGTCGACATACTCAATTATTTTTCACCCATTCAACGAGTAGCATATTATACTTGATTGGCGATTGAGTGCGCAGAAAAAAAATGGGATGTTTCGATTTGAGTAATCCTGAAGGTGGACGAGATCGTTTCTTTCTCTATGCTATGATCATCGTTCCGTTTATTTCTTCGGGCTGTTATGTATTCGATGCTTGGTACTATTATGTTTATCATCCAGATTCACGCACCTACGAAGGGCTCTTGTCTACTGTTTTTATTGTCTTCGTCTATCTTCAATATTGTGCACCAATTCGATCTCGCCAATCATTGGCTATCTATCATATTCTCCTATGGATAATCACAGAAACAGCTAATCTTGGCTATTTGATTTTCTATATTCAGAAGGGTGAAACATTCAGAATCATCATATATTTTTCTTTCCTCATCCTTCAGTTATATCTCACTATTGGTCTTCTCTATTGTCGTGTTCTGAACAATTTCGAATCGAATATTGTTGTAGAAAATAAACATTTATTCCATTTTATGTCTCGATTGGAAGTTATTCTGACCATATATATACCGATTTATTACAAGATCGACTATACACCATTGACACGACATACAATTGCTTACTTTCTTTTGTTCGACTTTTTCTCAGACTCGTATCATCGTTTTCAAGGTGTTTGGATCAAATCTACATTGTATTTATTTGTGACGACTGTTACAGTAGCAGTGGCAACCGAATGGTTCTATCTTAACAATCAAGATCATATCTATAAAAATATTTCTCTTATCGCTGAAGTCATTTCTGCTTTCCTTTGTAATACCATTATTATTCTACAATTTTTTCCGTTTCATTTTAAAACTCAACATATTCAACATATCGCTCGAGAAGCCTTACTTGTAATCAGAAATCAACAGAATGCTATACAAGAAAATGTTGAATCTATCACCAAAATAGCAATGATCACTGAAGAAAATTTTATAAATATTAGTGTGGATCCTTTGAAGAGTGACAAAACCAATTTTGATACAAATACGAACGGCTTACACACATGACAATAAAAGCTATTAGTTTTGAGAAATTTTATCGTAGCTTCTGAGAAGAGATACTATTTAAAATATTATACAGCTACTAAATGATTTAGATAACTTCTTTCTATTTAATAACATTTAGTTTATTGATCTTCATCATTGTAGTCAGTTATTTATTTTGTATGATGATTTCTATTTACTTCTTTTTTTTTTTTGTTATCACTCTTGATTATTTAGTGTATCATGTTGTCGATCATTTTACTAACAATGAATACCTCTTAGATTTTTTTTCGTTATGTTATGGTTTAATTTCTTTCTGATAAATTTTTCTACTTTATAGTCATATGTCTATCGTTGATTTATTCTTTTTTGTACGCAAATTAACAGAAATATACGATCTCTATAAGAAAGGAATTAATCACTTCAAACTCATAATTATTGTTATTCAAAAATAATATAATGACAAATATACTGCATGCAATATTTATTTATTTACTTTTCTGCTCTTGCCATTTATTACTTGAAAAGAATCACAATAAATAAGTAGCTAAGTGATATTTTAATAGCTACGAATATTTATTAAATAGCGCTTGGGATTACATAGCAATCTACTTAGAGAGATTGACAAAACATAAATAGTTGAGAGTCTATTATGTAGCTGAAAATATTCATTAAATAGTGCTGATATTCTTTAAATAATGCTTGAGAATAAATAGTAATCCGCTTAGAGAAATTGAAAACAAATACGTAGCTGACTGTTAATTAGAAGTATGAATATTGCTACAAAATTCTCTTACACATCTATACATTCGAAAAAAGGACCAATTGTTTCCGCACTCTATACTCCGTTTATAACATATATTGCTTGAAAAATGAATTAAGTTATATGAAAGTTCAGTAATTCATCGATTCTCTTTCTGATTATCTTGCTTTGAAGCAATGAATGATACCCATTAAATTAGAAATGTATTTGATGTGTGCAGAAAAGGTAGGAAGAACGCACTCAACAGTAAATTAATATATCTATGTTAGAATAGATGAAGAAACCTATACTAATTACTTTATCATTTATTGGAAATCAAATCTATTAAAGTGATGTAAGTATCATTAAATTAGATTATGATGGTGCTAAACATATACGAATCTATTAGCTACAATTGAACAGTGTTGCCGAATACCGAAAATAATTATCATAATAACCTAACTTGACGATTTTTCTGGACATTTTACTATGCAAAGAATTTAAAATGCGTATGAATACTAGACTGACGCAAAGTTTATTTAGGAAAAGTATTCCAGACATTTGACTATGATGTATCTTATGAAGAATTTAGAGGGGTTTACATAAAAACAACGACCTAGTACTATAGAGGAATCGGATGATTCTCTCTTCAACATAAACTAGTGTACGCAGTTCGAGTGCTGTGACTGTCAGAATCAGTAATTCACGTAGATTCCCGTAAATGAGCGCATTGAGTTCGGACGTTTTTCTTACAACCAGACTCCAGCGTGATTCTTCGCCGAACGTAGTCAAAGTTTAGCCAAGCTGACCGCAACTCAATGGAATAGATCTGCTCTGATCAGAAGAGAATGATCTCGATGTGAAAATCATAATCCGAGTTCTTTTTTTCTAGTATGGTTCTTGCGAAAGCTTTTCATCCGAGATATTGCTTTCAGAAAATGATTCTACTTGAGCACGGACTCTTTATGCTTATTTGTTTTCATGTCGATGAAGATAGCAGAAAAATTATTTCACTCGAAGTATTGGTTTCTTAATAGTGTTCATCATTTTCTTTTCTACCAACGCCAGGCTTCTGTGACATTTCTAATTGTACCCGAATAGCTAATAACATAGTATTAGGTGGTTTCAACAAAAATGTATGTAGATTTGGAAATTTCGGTTCGTTGATTTTTAATCTAAAATAATTAGGTACATGTAAGTATTCTATGCACACTATTCTAAAGTTTTCTTCTCTTGAGATAGTGTTTCAAATGATGCTATCTATTGCTGTCTAGCGACAGAGTATAGCTCTACGAAGTAGTTTATCCAATTATTGTTCTATCATGCAGAGGGAAGGAAAAAAAAGTACCCTCACTAAGCATAGTATTGGCGAATGCTATGAAAGAAATCACTAAGGTTAAGTGTTACTAGTACGCACTAATTTTGAATCATACTAAACTTTGTTAGTTGTTTATTCTGCAGACAAATTTAAAAAGTTTGATTGGCACGATGTAAACATTGAATAGATGACTCAATTGTAGAAAATCAAGAACGAATATCAGTAATCAATTTTTTTCCATCAATTATTTTGTTACTTCTTTATTTCAGATCTCAGAACTTTCAAGCATTTCCTTTAGTCGTTTATAGCTGGAATTACATTTACGTACGTCATACTTTTTGAATATGACTTTTTTCACAATGAATCACAGTAATGAAATAGACTCAATAAGACGAAAGCAACATATGTGTTGTTAGTCTGATGAAGGATTTCTTATTAATCATGCTATTCTTCTCACATTTGCACTTTTTCTTTTTGTCATCAGGCTTAGGTTGTTTTTATTAGCGATAGATATAATAGATTATTTTCTTCAAAAGAAAAACAGCTTCATTACTGTGTAGGGCGCACACAATGAACACTCTTTTCTCTTTCATATTTCTTGGTAGCAAAAAATAGATAAATTACTGCTTAGAACAGCACTCATTCTCTAGAAAGTTGTATATAGCTTCACTTTAAATATCATCTCTAGAGAAGAAGATAACTTTAGAAAAACATACGTATATGGAAAACATTCATATAATATATTCACTGTCATTTTTAGCTAAAACAGTCGTTGTACCTAATGGTATTGAAATAGATATCAATGGACCTGAACTCAAAAACACTGTATCTTTCGTTCAAATCGCTGAAACACAATTAGATACTTTGCCTTGTTT